GAGCTAGTCATCACCCATTTTACTGTGTAATCGACGTTTAATAATTTATGTTGTAGAAAATACTTTTTTAATTATAGCTGTAGCAACGGGAAAAGTTAATCCTAAGACAATAAGATAGTAAACTAAGGGATACATCATATCTTTCTTAACTTTAATAAATTATTTTGCAAGATCAACAATGCTATCTAAGATGAGAACTCCTCCCTTGTATACATATCAAAAATATATGTAAATATCTGGTGCTCTAGAGCCACAACTTTAACTATAGAAAATTTTGATGAATATAGCTCTGCAGGCCAGATTAATATGTCCTTATAATAAACAGGGAATGAATTACTTGGATTTAGAGATGAAACACAAAGAAGCAATTCAGTACTAGCTTTAGAGAATCTATTATTTAGCTCTTGAGGTTGTATATCGATAACAGTGTAAAAGAATTTCACATGATAATGATGTAAATTGTTTACATCTTCATTTCTGCATAATGATCGTCAGCGAGCTTTGAATGTATAGTACATAACACGAACATCAACTTCAAAAATATTGTAAAAAAATATGACACTTCTTCCAATAAAGAATCTCATCCATTTTCCCTCATCATCTATAATTATTGTTTGGATATTACATATTAACTTCATTGCATTTAGTATATCCTAATCTTTTCTCTGTAATGCTTGTAATAATTTATTTGTGACACCTAAAATGTCAATCATTAAATTCATAGCAAGGATAAAATCAAAATATTTCATGGCATCTATCAAAACACCAATTCAACTACTTATTGATCATGTACCACATCTTTTTTAATAATTTCAAGCACTTCAATTACTAATGCTTGCATTTTCTTTAAGTTAATTAATGTATGAAAAAATGAATCCCAACGAGTGTCATGAACGTTCTTTAAAGCAGCAGGCTATGCCACTTAATATAATATACTACTACCAAACCCATACAAGCAGAAAATAGAGAACAACTCATTCACTGAGAACTTCTCCTTAGCTCCTGCATCATCATGAACTCTACTATTTTATTGAAATGAGTTGGATTGAGTCAATTTTGTTCTTCAATGGCAACACTGGGAAGCCACAGGAGATCTGATTGGACAGAAGCCAGGGGCTTAATATATCTTTTATAGCAACGTTAGACTTCTTTCAGCACCCGACGAAAGGAAAGCGAGCTAGAAGACATGGAAGTTTATGCTGGAAGCTAAGGATGAACCATTTGTGCTTACATTTGAGCCTTCAGCTAGTAGAATGAGTGAGATGAAGGAAGATGCCATGGTAAAAGCTTATTGTGATTAATAAAAGAATTGGGTGTGAAATCTTGTAAAAGCCATTGGTGCTTATTATATAATCTTTTGTTTTGTAGGTATATCATTGTTTATAAGGCTAATGCATGATATAGATACAAACACTGATGCCTGCAAAGGAAAAAAATTTCAATTTAATTCATTAGATCATTAGGCCATTATATGATAACTTTTGTAAAATGCAAAGTATAATTATATTTAAATATGGCATCCATCTAATTGATTCTTCACATTGTGACGATCTTTTCTAATAGTAAGATAGTTGTTTCATGATCTTTATAAATTATCTTCAAAGTGCTTTTTAAAATAATTTAAGTAAAGAGTGGTTAGTGAGAGTAATTATTAAATGATTAATGAAATTAGTTAATTGGGTGTTACTATCTTCCAAATTTTTTTTAATTTTGATAAATCATATTTAATTTGCTCAATATGAGCCAATCTCTTATGCACCTCATGTCAGGAGAGACTAAGGCTTTGTTTGAGGCAGCTTGCTTACTACGTTTTAAAGTAGTTTTCTAGTATAATATGAAAATTTTGGTACCAAAAAACCGTTTTAATAAGCAGTAAAAACTCCACCCCAAGCAAAGCCTAACTATATTAAATCAAATTTTAATGATGAAAATGTCAAGAGACGAACTCTTCATTGAGAAACATTGCAGAAAATCAATTACATCTTAAACTAAAAAAGAAATAAAAATATGATGAATTTTACTAAAATCATCATCCATAAAAAAGATTCAACTTAGATATCATAACCGAAAGCTAAAATAGAAAATAGTCTTGGTTCAAAACATTTTAAACAACTACAACTAATAGTGCTTTAAACCACTTCTCTTTCCCTATGTTTGCGAAAACATGATGAAAGTTGTTTGTAGTGGACAACAATTACAACAGTCTTGCAGCAATTTTTTAACCACTAGTAGCCAGTTTATGATACTTTAAACCATCAAAATACTCCATAAAAAGTACTACAAAATCTTTTTGTTATGCTATTGTCGATGCAATAAAATATTAGAAAACTCTCACTTCTGGCAATAAACCAATAATCATAATTTGTTGAGCATTAGCATCATTTGATGTGCTATCTTTGAATATGAAGCTCTCACCCAAATCTTCCACATTTGCATAATATGAAGTAGATGCGCACAGTTGAAGCTCAATCCATAAGAAAAAAAGTCTGATCATGGAATACTGGTCAAGAAACTAGATCCAAAAACTCATTGCATAAGTAGGTTCAAGAAGGACATTTTAGTTGAAGTCATGAGCTGCATATATGAATATGAGAGGCACATTGCTCTGATGTAGTTAATGATATAAAATTGTTGCTTTCTTAGGAGTTTTTGTAATATTAATTAGTCATTGGTTAGGATGTGTGCCAAAGAAGGATTTAACAATTTTTTAGAGTTTTAAGGCATAAAAAAATAGAGATCATGGGCTACCATGTGCTAACTAGCTAAAGTATTATTGGAAAAAGAAGATAGGAGCAAAAAGATTTAATAATTGATGGGTTTGGTTTACATTGAATTCTCAACTTATTATTTTTGTGCTTGAGGATTTATCATATTGAATAAAATATCTCATATTTTTCTTAAATTACATGTTTTGGGTCGAATTACGAAGCTCCAAGAAGTATTGAATTTTAAACAGTTCTGTTTCAAATCCATTGAAAATTCGCTCATAAGTTGGTGCTTGAAGACATAGACCATTGTTCACCTTATTGAATAACTCTAAGGTATAAAAACGACTCAACAGTCAAAACTTCTAATTCTCTTATGGGGATTTTGTGAAGTAATCAAGAAAAAGTGTTGTTTTAGGCTAAAGACATGTACTTGGAAAACACTAATGCCTTTGTAGAAGCTCTTTATCCTATTTTACTTCCAAGCATCTTTTTGCTAAGTTAGGTTGATATTGGCTTTCTAGAAATAGAGAAATTCTCAGAGGCAAAGCTAAAGGCTAAGTGCCACTAGATGTGTGCAAGGCTATGAAAAAATCTCATATTTAATGGATTTTTTTCAACTCAAGTTCATGTGAAATCCATTCTATCTGGGATAGACAAGGCTTGATTTGATATGAGTTCAATCTTAATTAGAGAAAAAAACTTCATTTTTTTCTTTAAATTTTGATCTTTTTCAACAAAACTTATAAACAAGCAACAATATGTATACCAATTGTTGCATACTAGAAAGTTTGAGTCAGTAGAGTATATTTTAGGTCTCAGCATTCTACAAAAATTCAACACATAAAAATAAACATAGTATGACAAAAAAATGTGAAAAATGTAGAAAGAGAAAAAAATCATGGGGTCTAACCTAGTTGAAAGCTCCACTATACAGTAAGTGATACAAGAATCATTCTTTCTTCACTATTGAAGAAGAGGAGGAATAAATAAACATATGATTTTTCTTGATGGAAATTACATAAATCAAGTGTCTATAGAGGGACAATCTATACCCAATAGCGGGGTTATGTCTTGACAGTATTCTAGAGATGGTGATAGTGGTAGTTTTCGAGGACAATAGCTGGTGGTGGTCGTTGGCAACAATAACTAACAAAATGCAAGAGAGCTCTCTCAAGTATTCTCTCTTCTTCCTCTCTTCATGTGAAGAATGTGAGCCTAATTATTAGTTTTTGGGAGTGACATGCTCCGCAAATATGGAGAAAATCTAGAGCACTTCATCAAACGGTACATATTAATTTCTTTTATCATAAAACTTCGGCAAGCATTAAGGTGTTTTAATGATGTCATAATTAAGTGATCTTGGGTTCGTTGGATTCGTCTCATTGAGCCGCTCGATTCGACAATAAGAATGTCATATTTAGATATTATTTGTTATCCAAATAATATTTTTAAGCTTCCAAATATGCTTCAATTCTTTGATTTGGGCCTATTTGATCTCGAATTTGACTGATTTTAGTGTCGTTGGGTTTGTCTCATAAAAAACGTTCAATTTGATTATAAGTTTGCTGAAATCAATATTTGGATGATCCCAATTTTAATTTTGAAAGTTTTCAATCCAGATTTTGCCATGAGATTCACCCGGATCAAGGCGATTTTGAATGGTTAAGCACAAAGATAAATCTAAAATATTAAAAGGGATTTTTATGTCATTAATTGGCTTTGTATTTTTTATATATTTGATGAATGATTAATTTTTATAAAAATTAATGAATCTGTCTTATAAATCATAATTTATGGTTTGATCTTGAGTTTATGATTATAAGATGGTTGATACAACACAATTGGGAGGAAAAATTAGTTGATCCTTTGGAGGAGAAAATTTCTATTATATTTAAATGTAATGGTATATAGGTATGCACTTTTCTCTTTCTAAGTGATACTATTTTATTTCCAATTAAATTTACATGTTTCGATCTTTAAATGAAAGATTAAAATCATTTAATCTTTTTTTTACATTATATATATATATATATATATATATACTAAAAAAATAAGCTTTCGCAGCACTTTTTGTGACCTATTGCAGCGGTTTAAACACATACTATTTTATTTGCAGCGGTTTAGAAACCGCTATAAATCCACTGTATTTGTGTTCGCTGCAAAGGCTTCCGCAACGGTTTCACAAGTGCTGCTGTAGAAATGCTATAGTAGCGCATTTAGAAGGTGTTAAAATCGCTGGTAAAAGATAGAATAAATTAAAAAAAAATATATTATGCAAAAAAAAAAAACAAATTTGTTATCAAATTACAAATATCAATAAAATACTATACAAATATAAATTAATCTTTAGCTCCATCATAACTATTTCAAACATCATTTATACTTACACAAGGCATCACTCTATTCTATTTTTGATAAACTGATACATCTTATTATGTCCAAATTGAAGCTTTGATCACTCTATTCATGTTTTTCTTCCTTACGATCGACATTGGATTAAACAACGGCTGTTCCAACACCTCAAGAAACTTGATTTGAAATAAGATTCAATGACCAAAACTTAAAATTAAAGATCTATTCATCCTTGTGTTTAGCCCAATCCTCTACCTTGATGAGCTTCTCTAACTTCAATCTTTGATGAATAAATTATCATAATTTGTCATTGGATGTTTGGTGATACTTGTGTATTTGAACAAGTTGTGTATAAACTGTAATTCAAACGCTTGATTCAAGTAAAAAATTAAATGAACAGATGGAATTTCATCAAAAAAAGAGAATCAAATACAAAAGTAAATAAATTTTTAATACATATACATGAAGGTTAAGTTGGGGATGCTGCCAGAAATATATTTGTATGGTTAGCAAATGATCGAACACCTGGTGCGCATTCTTGGAGGAGTCAAAGAAGCTGTCGTCAATTTAAAAGGTAGAACAAGATTAACAATCTGAAAAGCAAATCGAGACAAAAAAAACACTTCAGCTTTCTTTCTTCTTCTTTTTTTTAAACTGAAGTTTGGCAAAACATTGTGTATGTAAAGCTCCAAACTCAAAGCCATTCTCAAGCAAGATTTGCTTACCACATCTTGATATCTGTGTACATAAAAAAAATGAAAACAAAAGAAGTTGGAATAAGAACCAACGTGAGCCTTACCTCCAACATATGCAAGGAAATGGTTCTTAGTTTTTGAAGGGCTTTTCCTTTCGTTTTTGAAGGGCTCTCGCAAAGAGTATCTGATAACCTTGTCAATACATAACTAAATATTGAGAAAGAGTCATTAGATTACCACTCTATATTTTCTTACTCACCGGAATGGACAAACATGGAGCTAAGCCGGTAGTTCCTCGACGGAGGCGCCCGTGAAAAGTCCAAAAATCACGGGTAAGAGAGAAGAGCTCGCGAGCAGGCTAACCGGGTGGAATCCATTGGTTCAATTAGTTGAGGGAGGCAATGGAGGAGCTCGTGAAGGGGTGAGAAGGGGTGAGGTGAGAGCGGCGTCAATCGTCTGGCATGTATCCACGCGAGGTGAGAGCGGCTAGGGCACAAATCGATTAAATGGAGTAGGCAACTAGAAGATTAAACCGGGCTTAAAGCCAGCGGTTTAAACTGCAGTTAAAAATATGATAATTTTTTTTTTTATTTTTTTAGCTGCGGTTATAGCCGCTGCTATAGGTGACATATAGCACCAGTTTGAAAACCGCTGCTAATTAATGATGTCTTTATGCCTTTGTTTTAGTAGTTATATATATATTGGGAATGGGGAGTATCGGTCCGTTGCCACGTCAGTTTGTGACATGCTTGGCGGTGTCCACTAGTCTCCTCAGCTGACCTAGACGAGCGACCCACACCCTTGCTACTCGTGGCCCGTGCTTATTGGGTCCCCCCTAGAGGGGCTACTGCCGCTCGAGAGAATCGAACTCGAGATGGGGAGTTCTCAATTGAGCACGGCCACCAACCGAGCTAAGCATCAGTGAGTTTTACATTATATTTGGATGTCATTGTATATAGGAATGCACTTTTCTTTTTCCAAGTGATACCATTTTCTTTCCAATTTAATTTACTTGTTTCGATCTTTAAGTGAAAGATTAAAATCATTTAATCTTTTTTTTTTCATTATTAAAATAATTGGTATGCATGATTTCATGAATTTTTTAGATCATCTCATCATTAATCGGATGTAATATAACTTTTATGTTGGCTTTTATAGTTTTATTATTTTAAAAAATATAACTCTGTTTCTAAAGTACAGAAAATTTTAATGCCTTAAAAGCTGAAAAATAATATATACACACACACTTCACTATTTTTAATAAATTTTTATGCTGTGAAATTATTTTCTGCAATAATTTTTTTAATACTTAAGATTTATCTGTGCTTACTTGATTAGTGACCATTCATCAATACAGTCTAAATCATAAACTGTCATCGTCAGAATATATATAATGTAGTGCTTTAATTACGCTAATGTTTTCATAATTTTTAGGTACTGACGAATTAAATTTCTTAAGAAATTGGCACCTATCGGTAGAAGTGGAGAATTTGCGATTGATTGACTTCCGATTTGCAAACCAATTTCTCTAGAATGTTTTGGATATGCTTAGTTAATTTATGAATATTTTTTAATAATTTATGAATATTTTTGAATTATTTATGGATTACCGGATTTTAGGATATAAAAGAATTTTTGGCTAAAATTGAGTAAATTAAATAATTATAATGATATTATATTATTATTTTAATATAATTATCTTTAACCATTATTACAAACTTTCATTAAGTCCATTTTTGCTTTTTGATTTTCATTAACAGAGAGGGCTTGAGAAAAAAATGAGCGAAAGAGAGGAGAGAGAATGGGGAAAATTCAATTTTGGGCGACTTCGATCGTTTTCATGCATCAACATAGTTAAAAAATTTGTTCGTCTTGAGGTAAGTCACATTACGCATATCTCAATTTTTAAATACAAAATCGATTATTATACATAATTTTTAAATAAAATAAACATTTTTGAGGTTTAAAATAAATATTAATATTTGAAGCTAACATGAACCGTGTGTTTCATAAAATTATAAATAGACCATCTTTCTTCATATGATAGAGACATGAACCTTGTTCTAAATTTGAAGAGGGTTTAGAGATCTCAAATTTTTCTAAAGCCTTGTCACATCGCCAACATTTGTCTCATTCGACCACCATCATTTGATCAATATTGTTCAAATACTATTGCCCAATCATTGTTGCTAGGTCTTTGTCCCCAAGACTA